AAATTTGGAATAGCAATCCCCTTGGACAGCTGATTACAGAAATAAATATCCTAAATTTGACCTTTCTGTCATATATCACTAAAAGGTTGATCATCTAAGAATGTACAGATATTGTCTTAATGTCCCTTGAAAGTCAGGAGAGTGCCTCCTAATTTGGAGAAATGAAGGCCTTCAGAGGTCAGCAGATCTGTTTATTGGATTTTTGAAAAGAAAAAAAATGACGGTGACTGAGTCACTGCCCCAGAGCCAAAGAATTACCATCAATTGATAGCAATTAACTTAATTTTACCTGTGCAACCCTGTGTAGATAAGAGTTGATTATAGTAGTTCGTGACATTTGGCGTGGAATGTTGTCACTTCTTTTTCGTTTTCTTTTTAAAAGCCCAAGCTGTCACCAGACAACAAATGTGCAAAGCAGAACACATCAGTCGTATTGCAACTAAGCTAATGGAAAAATGTAGAAAGTGAGGCAACTAATGGCATCCTTTGAACTTCCAAAGTGTGGCTTCTGTGAACATTAACAATAATTTAAAACAAGCTAACTGCTGCTTTTGAGGATGGCTTATTTAAACTAATGATGATTCGTTTAACCAAAGTAGAAATAAAAACTTTCAAATCATACCTTCCAACTAGTTTTAAAAACCTCTGCTTTCACTTATAGAAAGGCACAGTATGCATTCAGGCAATAAACGTAACTGAATCCTACTAAAGTCAAATTATAGAAACCCTTGAACATTGAGCTAAACATTGGCTTACTACTTTGGTAAGGTGTATCACAAATAACACAAAGTGAATGGTTCCCCACATATGGGATATTGCTTGTAAAAAATCACAACACATTCAACTCTCTTATCCCTTGATTGGCAGGCACAGGGAATGGTGCTTTACCGGATGCTGTGGACCTTATCACATTGCCAAATGGATTTGGATTCGCACCGTGGTGAATCCATGGGGCCCTGACTGGGAGCGTGGAGAATCCGTCACCCCACATTGCTTGACTTACCTGGGACCCCATTCCATGGGAGGAAGCATCCACTGCCTGGCTTCCCTCATTGTTCCAAAGGCAACACAGGAAGCCTCCTGTGTTGCTGCAGCAGCGGCGTACACTGCTTGCTTTCCCCTTTCAGAACCCAGCCAGAAGTACACATGCATTGTGTAATGGGCTCCGTGCTGAAAGGGGAGAACAAATGGTGTACAACAAAGTAGCCCCTCTGATGAGGTTGTATGTCATTAATTCTGTATTTAAAAATCTGTATTTGCTCTTTCTCTTCCACCACCTCTTCCTCCCTGGTCAAAGCCCCTCCCCAGAGTATTTGCTCTCAGGACCCTTCCACCATATCTCGTGATGGGTCATGGGTTTACCTGAGGCATCCAAATGATGCCTCAGGTAAACCTGAATTAATCCAGCGGAAACTTGGCCTAGGTCTTTCCAGGTGTGCACCTGTGGAGCTTGAGGTTAATCCCCATCGCCATCCTGTTTTTTGGGCTCTCAGAACCTGAAGGAACAGGATGACACTCCCACCCTTCTCTCCCAGCCCCCTATTTTGCCCCACAAACTTACTGGAGCCCCTATCCCCAATCTCCCAGCGCATCATTTGGACACATCAGAAGCTATTTTTGAGGGGCCTGCGTGTACAAACATGCTTCTCCAGTAAGTTTTTGGGCAAAAGAGAAGAGAGAATGTGGTAGCCAGATTTTGTTCATTTTCATGGTTTCTTCCTTTCTGTTGAAATTGTCCACAGGCTTGTGGATTTCAATGGCTTCTCTGTGTAGTCTGACATGGTAGTTGGAGTGATCCAGCATTTCTGTGTTCTCAAATAATATGCTGTGTCTAGGTTGGTTCATCAAGTCCTCTGCTATGACTGACTTCTTTGAAAATGAACGAAGTCTGGCTAACAGTATTAAAAAAAAACCCTCTAGAATCAGGACAGTAAATAATGAGCAACACTAAAAAAAACCAAAAAAACAGGGGAATTCCAGACAGGAAACAATCATGGCCAGCTAAAACATCCCAACAAAGGATTCCCCCAGACAGGAAGCTGCAAGGCTATTCAATGCTAATCAAGGTGGCCAATTGCAACATTCACACTTGCCTCCAACAGACAAGAGTTCTTTCTCCCACCCTGGACCTTCCACAGATATATAAACCCCACTTGCCTAGTTTCCAACAGACCTCACAACCTCTGAGGTGTTGCCATAGATGTGAGTGAAACGTCAGGAGGGAATACTTCTGGAACAGCCCTGAAAACTCACAGCAACCCAGTGATTACAGTCATGAAAGCCTTTGACAACACATAACAGTCATGAACTTGACTATCAAGTCACTATTTTTCGATCCCTTTCTAATGTGACTCTATCTTTTAAAGTAACAAAAACAAAGTGCAACAACAACAAAGTATAGATTATAATAACTGCCATTGAATTCTGTGAGCTGCAGTCTAAAAAAGTAATTTTCCCAAGTTCTAGGAAGAATTGGTAGCATGATGTTTTGGAAATTGGAATTTTTTTGACTTGCAAAATCTACACTCTCCATTTACTAGAAGGACTAGCCTACTAAATAGAATCTAACAAAAACAGTGGGTGGTAGAAGGGAATAAATCAATTCTTTATTACATCCTACAAGTTAAAGAGCCAAGCATTCTAAGTAGAAAATACATCTGAGTTCTAAAAGCTTAACACAGTTGCACAAAGAGATGGATACAGCCAACCGTTTAATACTCATATTTTACAATGGGAAATGTTGAGTCTAAAAGATAAGCAGTGAGCACAAAGGCAGCCAGAGCAGAGATGTTTTCTTTTGATTTTCCATGATGCTTGCTACTGCAAGAATCTTGCCAATTTAGTGCAAGTCATCCAGAGTTCTCTCAGTAGATTCAGCCCATGAATTCCCACCAATGCAAACTTGAATTCTGGCCATCTGTTCTACTTTGAGAGATGAAGTCTCATTACGATTTCTTGGCAAACCACAGGTCCCTGGTAATACAATAGATAAAAAGGAGTGGAGGAGGAGAGCAAGAAACCTGCCCTGACGTGTGTATTGACAAGAGACAAGGTTCCTATGAAAACACACTGCAGTTCTAGACGGTCCCAAATGACTTTGCGCAGGTGCAGAACAACTCATAGGTATGAGACACAGAATCATCAAGAATAAAAATAGATGTTAGCTTTTTGTTTGTTTGTTTTCATGTTATTTTAAGTGTACCCTGAATTTATCAAGAAGATTCTACAGCTGAACCAAACAATTTTGCATACAATTTGGTTAGATGAGGTAATTCAAATTAAGAATGGAAGCAACTGAACATTTGCACAACTGAACGAAAAGCTCTCAGCAGCTTCTCTATTTTATCTTGTCTGAAATCTGTTTTCTGATCACTCACACTAAACAAAAAACTAAGCTTAAAAGGAAATACAGCTATGTCAGCTAATTTTGAAATATATTTATTAGGCCACTTCTGGAATTGTATGTGTTTCAAGACCACTTTTTTATCACATTTTAGTCACAGTTTCAAATGTGATAATCCATTGAGGGGGTTCAATGGATTGTCACATAAGCTGGACAAACCCTCTGCAAACACCAGAATGAACTTTCCAACAATATACAACACGTTCACAAACAAATCCTAATTTAGCTTCTGTCCAGACAAGTATACAATATTTTTTTCTTCCTTTCTCTCTTAGTGAAGGTAAAGGTTTCCCCTGACATTAAGTCTAGTCGTGTCCAACTCTGGAGGGTGGTGCCCATCTCTATTTCTAACCCAAAGAGCCAGCATCATCCATAAACACCTCCTAGGTCATGTTGCCGGCATGACTGCATGGAGCACCATTACCTTCCTGCTGAAGCAGTAACTACTGATCTACTCACACTTGCATGTTTTCGAACTGCTAGGTTTGTAGAAGCTGGAGCTAACAGCGGGAGCTAACCCCACTCCCCGGATTCGAACCACCAACCTTTTGGTCAGCAAGTTCAGCAGCTCAGTGGTTTAACCGCTGCGCCACCAGAGGGCCTTCCTTTCTCTCTTACTCTCCCTTCTTTCCTATTCCTTCCTAAAATTCCAATTTTCACATGATGATGATATCACTTCATAGTAGGCTCCAGTTTAGAGAAGACAATTTTCTATGTTAGTATGTCCTCCATTTAAAGAGCTATTTCCCCATAAAGAAAGAGGAAAAATAAAAGGCTAGCAGGGCATGAATTATAACACATTTATCTTCTCCCTGGAAATTCCAACTTTTCCAAAACCCTTAAAATATGTGACCAAATATGATGAAGGAGGAGTTCATTCAAATGCAGGATGGAAAAGATGAAGAGAGACAGAAAGAAGGAGAATCAAGAGAGAAGGAAATGAGGCTGAAGTAAATTATTCAGAACCTATCATTGTGTAAGTAACTCACTGAAGAATTACAAAGGGCCTCATTGCAACCCAGCTCAGTATTATATAGTAACTGTACATTACACAATAAAATAAAATTGAATCTAGTCCAGATTATAATTAAGGTTTTAGAAGTTACTGAAGAGAGTCAATACATTGCTCCACCCTTAAAAGACCACCCAAAGACTCTTGAGTGCTTTGCTTCATGAAAGTCTATGGGGGCACTCAAAGGTCAGATAGATAGATAGATACTTTTGAAAGAGCCCAAGTGATATTATACATGACTGCATATTATATAATATTTAAAAAAACAGAACTACTGCAGGATATAGCTAGCATAACAGAATAGAGTCATACTACACTTACATATCCTCCTCGAAAGTCCTATTGTGGGGATCATTGGTCTATCAGGCCTAAAAGACATAGCATTCTCTAAGGCAGTGGTTCTCAATTTGTGGGTCCCGAGATGTTTTGGCCTTCAACTCCCAGAAATCCTAACTGCTGGTAAACTGGCTGGGATTTCTGGGAGTTGTAGGCCAAAACACCCGGGGACCCACAGGTTGAGAACCCCTCCTGTAAGGCCTCCAGATTCCTGACCTCCTGTTAAGCAAAGAAACTACTTCCTCCTACCTCTTTTTTCTTCGCCATTCTTCCTCTTCCATTGTTCCCAAACCAAGCTATTCTTCTGCTTCACAAAGCCAGCTTGTCTGCTCCATCTCTCCCCATCTTCCCAAAGAAATCACACAAATTAAGTCTACTTAACAACAGAACAATATGCCACATTTCCTCCAATTCTAATATTTCTTGTTCTGAAGCAGCAGACCTTCCTGCTTTCCAGAATGTGAGAAGACTCAACATTAGTAAGGACCCAAAATTAAAACAGGACTCAGCTTTTGCCTCCACTGCTCTTTCTTTCTCTTTTTCCTTCTGGAGGAGACAGCAGAGGCAAACTTTCAACTCTGTGTACCATTCATTTCCCTCACTTGCGAAAAAGAAACCTAGTTTCACCATGAAGACAACCGAGACAATCCTGAGGCAAAGAAAAAGGAAGAGTGGTGGAGGCGGGAACTGAGGCACTTCTTTCTTACCACATTCTTCTCCCTTTAAAATGGCCAATTGAGTGTAAATAACCTGAAGCCCAAGATCTCATGCCTCCTCTTAAAAAAAGGTCCGATAATCCTTAAAATTTCATTCCTGCTCCCCACTACTCTAGCCTGACTCCAACAACCTCCCCAAGTTGTTAGTTTGGTAACTTTGGAGCATAGAAAAAGGTAACTGCGTAGAGTTAAAACGCTTGGAGGGGAGAATGACGGGTTCCAATTGCTACTCTGCTGTAGTGTTGCATATGACCTTCCTCGCTAAGGCTTAGGCTTGGAAGCTCTATGGACCACACCAAAGCCTTGTGAGGGCCACTTCCGCCCCCCTGGCTACATGTTGTGCAGGCTTCTTATAATTTATGGAGGCATGTTTTTAAATTGAGCATGAAGAACATAATTATACCAAAATAAGACTTAAGGCAAATACTACTTGATCTAAGTATGATAACTTTTCAACTTTTATAAACATTTCATATATTTTGTTAATTTATGTTTATTACTTATTGTTTGGAATTGGGTCAGCTTAAAGACCAAATAAATATATTAAAAAGCACACTGTTAGAATGTATGTAAAAAGAAACCAAACTCCAAAAAGAAGATAGAAGCAAACATGCCGAAAACTCAAAATACTAAAGGAACGTATTTAGATCACAAATGTTATTTGGTTCCTACACCCTTCCCTTAGGAAGGTGTATACCAAATCCTTCAGTAAACTTGAAGCAGATTGCTCCTCGTGGAAGCAGTTGGAAAAGCAAGACAGAACTCTGAAAAGCAGCTCATCTTCCCAGGAGGAATAAACATTTTGGATTATCTTTGAATTCCAGTGCTACCCAGAAAACCTCCAGTTTTTGAAAGAAGTCTGTAATGCATAGAAAATCTCTAGTTAATTTCCCAAGGAGTTCTTAAATTTAACATTTTGTTTGCTTGGAGTGATGTGGCGGGGAGAAAAAGAAAGATGGGAAGGAAAGGAGAGGAAAAGTAGGTCAGTGTGTTTCTCTTGCATGTCTTCCTTACTCCATTAAAAGTGCCTGTCAGATGACTAGCCAAGCCTATAATCCACAGTAAAAGCAGGTTTGCATTCAGTTGCACTTTTTGCCAGGGGACATGTGCAATTCCATTTAGCTCCAGATCCCAAAATTAGGCATACACCATGAAAATTCAAAGAATATCCTCATAGATATTGAAGCAAAGCCATTTATGTGGCTGCAATAAACAATCTGTTACAGATATGGGACACTGAGATAGAATCCCAGAGTTAATTTAATGCTTACTACCCTTAGGCACTGCCTGTAGGAGATCCAGGTACAACTTTTACAAATCTGTCTCAGAATATTTTCATGTGTCAGTATCAGTACAATCCTTTGCATGTCCACTCAAAATCAAGCTGCAAAGAATTGCAGATAAACACATGCAATACTGCAGCCTTGACTTTCCCCCAAAACTATAGTAAAAAATGAATCACCTCCCAAATAATTCAAGAATGAATTTTTAAAAATGAAGGCTATGTTATTATTTGAAGGATCTGAAATAGGTAATGACAAATATTGCTGAGTATCCCTTATCCAAAATGCTTGGGACTAATAGTGTTCTGATTTTCTCGTGTGTGTGTATGTTATTTACATAACGATATGATTTGGAAATGAGACCCAAAATATTTATTTATTTATGTTTGTTTACATAGTCTAAAGATACGTCATTCCCCATGGTCTGAAAGTAATTCCATACAATATTTTTAAATAATTTTGTACATGAGAGTTTGTATACATTGAACCACCAGGAAGCAAAGATGCCACTATCTCGGCCACCCTTTGGACAATTTTGAGTTTTAGAGTCTTGGATTATGAGATTCTGGATAAGGGATATTCAATCTGTACAGCCATCAGTATCTATTAATGGATTTTTTTCTGCCTCTTCTTCTAGCTACTGAAGAAGGTATACACAAGTGGCTCTTCCACAAATGTTTGGAGTGCAACTCCCATATGCTATGGTGGCTGAGATGGTTGGAAGATGTAGTCCAAAAACATATGAAAGGTCACAGTTGTCCAACTAGTACTAGTTGGTGGTGTCCAGCTGTGGCACTGTTTCTCCAGAAAGTGGACAGCAGAAGACCATTAAATCCTTCAATGCTTATTAAATTCAATGCATAAATGTTATCATCCATTGCTGGTTTTATTCAATATGTTGTGCTTTCATGGGTTATTCTATTTTAGACTTCTTTTAAAAAACACCTTATCATGGTTACTAGGCAGCATTTTGTTGTGGCTGTTTGCCTTCACGTTGTTTCTGATGCATTGCAATGCTACAGTGAAAATATGAACATTCTCTTGGCAGGATTTGTTCAGAGGGGGTTTACTATTTTCCCTCTGGGGATGAAACTGTACAACTTGCCCAGAGTCAACCAGTGGGGGCCATTCTACACATGCCTAAAACCTGGAAATAACCAATATATATATATATATATATATATATATATATATATATATATATGGGGGGAGGAATTATATTTAACCAAAGTTGGGCAGAATTGGGTTAACAGCTGAAAAGCACATGTTAAAAATGTGTGCTTAAAACCCAATTCTCCTGCCAAAATGTGCACCCTCGCATGATTGTATATCCCTGCAGTCATGCAAATCATGTGCTTCTCTTCCCCCCCCCCCTTGTGTGGATTGCTCCTGGGCACATGCACATTTTAAAAGTCCAAAATAGCTGATGAGTTGATCAGGCTGTAAAAAACGGAGCCACGGATACACAAGTGGCTCAAGGGAAGCACAATTGGAAAGCAGCTGAAACCATTCCTTTCTTTTGATCTTTTTAATATTAAATAATTGAATTTAGAGTTGGGTGAGGAAAGAGAATAAGAAATCTGCTTGTGTGCACATTGAGATATTCACATGTTCGCATATGAGGTCCAGTGCATCTCAAAGATAATTAAAACAACAAAAACAAAAACTTCCACCAGATGTCCCCTGTCAGCCATCCATCTTGATCTGCTTCAAAGGAAGATGTGAGGACCTGCGTTAAGATCCCAGGGTTTGTTTGTTTTTTGTTGGTTTTTTTAGATGCCCATTTTAAAACCCACATTTTGGATCTGTCTGGATGTAACCTGTGTCTCCAGGGTTAATCAAGAATTCAAACTCTGGTCTCCAGAACCATAGGCCTCTTCTACACTGACCATTTAATGCAAATTCAAACTGGTATTGAAAAAATGGTTTTGATGTACAAATGATTACATTCTGGAATTCTGGAACCAGTTTGCACCCATGACGGTGATTACACAAACCACAGAGCACTGATGTACATCAAGAGCTTTCATTTCTATGCTTCTGTGAGTTTGTTGTCTGACTATTGCAGCTTGAAGCTGGCTTTAAACTACATTAACTAGTCAGGGTAGATGGATTAATAGTCAAATATTCAAAGCACTACAACATGCGGGCCAGGGATGGCAAATAAATATTTAGATAGAAGCAAACAACAATGTGTGTATATACACACAGTATGCCATTGCATCAAGGAGATGAGAGAGACCCATAGACAATGTATTAGTACTTACTATGTGCTTTTAAGTTGACTCAAATGGATGGTGATTTGTGACCCTATCATTGAATTTGCCACTGCTTTCCTTTAAAAATGAGAAGGTATGACTTTATCCAAGGCCACCCAATGGGTCTTCATGGCTGAGCAGGGGTTCAATTTCTAGTTTTCCAGAGTCCTAGTCCAATACTCCAATCACTAGATCATCGTAGCTCTCTGTTCTGCCCACCCTGCTCTATTCCTCTGCTCAGTTGCCATACACATACTGGCCAAGGGGGGGGGGGGTGAGTGGGGATGAAATTGCAAAGTCCTACTATGATCCTTCTGAGAACAAGCACTCTGTTTATGATGGAGTGGACAAACTGTCTTGGTTGTATAACTGAAATTCTTATTAGAGTTACGCAAGGCTGACAAAGCTAATTATAATGAAATCTCAAGTGCTGCCTTTCAACATTCTGCTTAGTTGTTGTTACTGTTTAATTTCCATATCAATTTTCATATAAGATCTGGAGCACTTCTGATGAAAAGTGTAAGATGAGATCTTTTTCTTAAAAAAGAGACATAATGACTGAAGATACACCGGTTGGATCTTATTTTTAGAGCTAAGCCATTAGGTTAGCATCCTGGCACGGGGCCAAGAGGAGCTGTAATGTGGCAGAAAGCCTCTTCATTAAGCTAGCTTTCCAAGACCACAGCTTTGGATAATTCCCTCTGCTAAAGCACGAAATACATGAATGAGTAGAACCTATTTCCTAAAAAGAAATTCTAAGATTATTTCCCATGTTTCATACCCCAAACACATGAGTTCTCAATATACAAAAGATGATGTCCTATAAATTCTATATTATCTATATCTCATGAACATGTGTGTGGAATTCCCAAAGGTTTTGCCAGTTTATCCTCTGAAATATTGCCTACATCGTCTGGTGTTCATTGGTGCTCTCCCATGGAAGTGACCCTGCTTAGTTTCCAAGTTTCCAATTCCCTTTGGAGTATTTAGACTCCATTCTCATTCTTCAAATAAGGTACAGGTTCCCCCAAATACTCAAAATAATCATATAATTAAGATATATTCTCTCATGAGTAGTTTGGTTTTTA